TGTACTGTCTTGGTGGCTGGGTGGTATTATACTTAACAGACTGTCTATTTCCACAGGCGAGAAACTACATTCAATCTTTATCTTACATGCCGAAAATGAACTTTGAAAATGTGTTTATTGGTGCCAATCCATTAGGTAAGGCTTGACTCCTAAATGGGCTCTTCCCGAAGCTGACCTTGGCACGTGTTGGCAGGCCAAGACTTTTCCTAAAGTTGCGGCAGTTGTTCAGAACAGAGATGCACACATTTTTCAAAGTTGACACAGTATGTATGGACTGTAAGGTGTGAGGGAAGAGACTGTGGGTAATGGGGTGGCTCCAGAGAAATTAGAGTTTCCTCATGTACCTTGCACTTTTACAAACTTGCATTTCAGAATGTGTCACACAGCTCGCTATGTAAGATTCTTTCTTTTTTCTTGGTGTTTTTTCAGCTGTGGACTTGCTAGAGAAGATGTTGGTACTGGATACAGACAAACGAATTACTGCAGCAGAAGCGTTGGCTCACGCCTACTTTGCTCAGTATCACGACCCAGATGACGAACCAGTGGCAGACCCCTACGACCAGTCCTTTGAAAGCAGAGAGCTTGAGATTGAGGAATGGAAAAGTGAGTCTGGGGAGCAGGAGAGAGCCAACCTGATCCCTTTGCGGTCCATTCCATGAGTTGCAGTTTGATTAAGCCATGGTAGTTACAGGCACAAAAGCTCTTTGAAAGGGTAGATAACAGCAGGACAAGGGGAAATGGTTTTAAGTTGAGAGAGGGAAGATTTAGGTTGGATGTCAGGGGGAAGCTCTTTGCAGAGAGAGTGGTGAGGTGCTGGAACAGCTGCCCAGAGAGGCTGTGGATGCCCCGTCCCTGGAGGTGTTCAAGGCCAGGCTGGATGGGGCCCTGGGCAGCCTGGTCTGGTATTAAATGGGGAGGTTGGTGGCCCTGCGTGTGGCAGGGGGTTGGAGATTCGTGATCCTTGAGGTCCCTTCCAACCCTGGCCATTCTGTGATTCTGTATATGGAGTGAATCTGTCAACAACTGTACACATAAGTAGTATAGTCCTTGGTAACTCCTACTGTATGCATGCAAGTACATAGGGTGGCACGGGGTGCTTACATGTTTTTCAAATGTATTTACACATTAGTGCTCTGGAAGTATCTTATTGTGCCTGTTAGTCTCTGAGACGGTTTATCCATTATTTGAGGTTGTTAAGGTTTTGTGCACGAGGGATGTCATTAGTAGTTTCTTAAGTTTCTGACACTTTTCCCACCAGGCCTGACTTACGATGAAGTAATCAGCTTTGTGCCACCGCCACTTGACCAAGAGGAGATGGAGTCCTGAGAAACTGCTCTCTTCTCTTTGTCCCACTTCACTGTGAGGGGAAGGCCTTTTTGTAGGGACTCTCCAACTATCATTCAAGTGCCTCGCCACAACAATATTCTCCTTGGTGGAAGGGTTTTGTGTGTGTTGAACTGGGGAGGGTGGGGGGAGGGAGGAAAGCTGAGTCTATGTAAACATGCTGCATGCTCTGTTGTGTTCTGTGTATGGCCTGGAGCAAGTCCCTGAAGACCTGTTCTGACTGCTCTTTAGTCCTTCCACAGGAAGCTTCAGCCGGTTTGTGCTGCTGGGGTGAGGAGGGGAAGGTGACAAAGTTTGGTTACAGTTGTTGCCATTTATCAGTTGTTCTGCAACTAACCTCAAAACAAGGAAAGTTGGTTCATAGCCTTAGAGAGCCCTCTGTTTTCTTTGGGAGTGAATGTAGGGTTGAGGGATGTCCTTCTTCCATGCTACGGTGACTGATTCACATCCAGATCTTCCTGGTACAGGAGAACGTACAGGTTTTCTGACAAATGTCTGATTCTTGGAACGTGAAAAGATTTTGTATGAAGCTGTAAATATGTTTGTGCCTTAAATGAATGGGGAAAGAGGGGGAAGGAAGTCTGGAGTGGAAGTGTCTGGCCCTGCTGTTTTTCAGGGTGAAGGCTCCCAGGCAGCCAGGCATGAACTCTGTGTTGTTCAGGAAACAACTTTCCGAGGCAACAGCCTCTCCTTGGATTGGTATTCCATATTTTTTTCCCTCTTTCCCTCCTTTAGTTGTGCAGTTTGTCAGCATTAGCTCCCAGGAGATGGAGGCTGGAGAAGATTCTTGCTAGCCATGTTTGCATATCTTGTTCCTTAAAAGGTGGGGTGTTCTTGCATGTCATAGCTGTATGCGCATGTAGAGCAGCTTGGTGTTTGTTGTTACATTGTGGGGGTGGCACTGGGGCAGTTAAATCATCAGTGAAATGTTCACTGAGTACCTCAGCCAGTGCCACAGAATCACAGCATCCTTCCTCTTGTGCTGCAGCTCAGCATGAAATATCTGCCAGTGTGGAGACTGTTGAGAAAAGGGTAAAACATAAAGCATAGAAATGCACATTGTCCGTTGTTCTGATCTGGCTTGAGGAGAGATTGGGATGGAGGGCTTCTTGTGAAATCAAGTGTAAAAAATGTTCTTTGAAGAAACGACTGTGGCATCTTGTGCCAGAATTTATTTCCTGATTTTTTTTTTTTTTTTTTCTAAAGATGTTGGAATCCAAAGCAAAGAAATAAGCATGCATAAAAACACAATCTCCCTGTCACTGTCTATATAGGTATTTATATAATATAAAACTAACATTTACTAGAGGATCTTTTTTACCCTCACAGATAAGAGCTTCTTGGCTGCTTGTTAGCAGGTTGAGCTCTGCTTGAGGGAATGGGAGAAGGGAGTATGTTTGGATACAAACGTGACAAAAATACTGGTATTTTCCAGGACTCTACATGAACTTAATGCCCAGTTAGCTACTGGCAGGAGGGGCTCTTTCTGTGCTTTTTTCTGTGCTACAACTATGCTGTGGATCTCAGGAGCCTGATTGTAGGATTTGGGGAGGAGACTTTTTAGACATTTATCTGTTGCAGGCGTCCTGTACACGTGACATAGCAGCTGTGTGAGTGAGGAGAAGGGCTTTTGCAGTATTTTGCATTCTTGTTACCTATGGGGTGGAGAGGAACTGTTTGTAGTATTTTTACCACGTGTCTGAAGAGGTGGCACAAAGGGATGGGACACAAAAGATGAAGCCATTGATTCTTGCTAGGCTACTTTCCAGTGATCTCTTCAGGTCAACGTTTTACAAAGTCTGGGGTGAGATGAACAGGCACTTTGTGCTCTGTGATAACGCTCTCTTCAGACCAACAAACTAGAGATAAAACCTCCCTGCTGGACAAGCAGTCCAGATATTCAAATGAAAAAATGTAGATAGACTCTGTAAACCTACAGCAGGATTATTTTTATCAGCCATTTTACGTGTAGATGCTACAGTGTGATTCCATGCGGAAATACTGCTAAAGATTTTTAAAATATAGATGCTGTGTGTATGTGTGCGTCCGTGTGTGCGAGTGGGAAGGTTTCATTCACAGCCCTGCTCTGAGGGAGCCGCGTGGCACTCCTGCGTGCAGCGCAGTGCTGCTGGGCCGCCTGCAGTCTGAACAGGAGGATGCACTTCAAAGAAGAGATCTGCTATTTCGTTTCTATCCATGAGTTGTGTTGTAATTGGTTATGCTGGATAAGATGTCACAATACCACTGGTTAAAAATAAAACCTATTTTTCAGATTTACTGTGCTGATGGTTCTTCTAACCCCTGAACAAACGGTTTTGGAGTGAGATGAATTCCTCCCTCATTGTACAGAATCCTGCGCGGTGGAGGGGTGGGTAATGCTGCTCAACTGCAAGCACGGCACTCATGTCCATGGGCCCCGCACGTGGCTTCCGCAGTACAGACCTAGCCTGGAGTCCGCATGACTACTACTGGACAGTAAAAGTACTTGTAGTTTTTGTTTAGCTTAGGGAAGCTGTTGTTTTGTTTTTAATTCAACGCAATAAATGAGAGTTCTGCGACTTGCCTGGATCTGGGACTTCTCACTGGTTGCAGATGTCTGCCATGTAGAAATGAGTGGGTTTGTTTCTGTCTTCAGCTGTCATCCAGTTGGTAGAGGGAGCAGGAGCGTGGTGACTCGCCTCAGTGGGGATTTTCTGACTGCTGTTGTGTGCCAGCATGACTCAATCAGAAGGACAATTAGAGGAATAATTGGATAAAGCTGTGTTCATCACACCAACAAAAGCCTCAGTGCTGCAGTGCTGGCTGTGATAGAGCAGCGCAGTCGGTGCTGATCCGAGTCAGGTAACTGCTACTGCACTCTCTGTTTTCCTCTGCAGTGCTGCACAGAGGTTGGGTTGAAGAGGCTCAAAGAAAAGGGTGCTTGCTGTGGTGCACATGGAGAGGAAAGAGGATAAATAAATAAATCCTAGATGGGGTTTGTCACTTCTTCTAGGGAGAAAAATCCCAAATCCTCAAAATTCCTGAGGTGTGTTTGGTTACAATATACGTTGATTAGCAAAAGACATTAAATTCAGTGAGAAGTGAATTAGGGAAAAGTGACTTAGACCAATGTAAAGAAAATAGGAAGCCTTAAATTAACTCATCTAACTACAGCTGTGCCCCAGATACTCAGAACTCCTGAACCATGTGTCGACAGCTGTGTGTGTGCAGTTGAGCAACAGTTCTCCATGCTCATGAGGTGACAGATGAGTTACATTTGCTCCTGTCCCAACAGTTCTGGCTGAAACTCCTCTTGCTCACTGGTGTATTTATAGAACCCAGCCCATTCTGCTTTGTCTCCTTACTATGCTGTTGCTAGAGCCGGGGTTTGTTTGCACGTGTGTGTATAAGCAATGTTAAAATGCTGCCAGTAACGCAGAGCCTGACTTGTTTTATAGAACTGCAGGCCTTACCACTGCTATCTGGAGAATGCGTGTGCCAATTCTAAAACGTGTTGCTGTGGTTGCTTGTAAGCAGGTAAAATGAATCCTCCCTAAAACTGTAGTAGTGTGTTTCCCTAAGTCCCATTCGTCAGGCAGGGGATGGAGCAGAGCTGAGTGGTGGCGGAGCGTGTCTCCTCAGGCGTAGCTTAGTCACTTCCTCTGGAGGGAGGGTGCGCCCTCAGAGCTCTGCTGTAGTCGAAGCAGAGTGCTGAGCCTCTGCTCAGCAGGGTGGGTTGGGTGCTGAGCGATGGGACTGACTGCTGCAGAAACAAGGCTGGACCCCCCAGACCTCAGCACCTGCAGCTCCCAGGGTGGTCCCATCTCGGAGCAACTCCTGAGCGTCTCACTGCAGTCACGTGGATGAAGTGAAGCTCAGACAGCCTTCTCTGTGCCCGTCTGCTGGGAAACCACGGAGGAAATCCCCGCTGCTCCCTTGCTCTTCCGTGAATTTAATGCCCTGGACTCTGTCCTGGAGCTCTCCTCCCCTGCGGCGCTGACTCGGTGCTGTGGCACGGTAACCTGTCCTCTACGCCAGGCATGACCTCGGATTCCTGATGCACCCTTACTCACCCCACCGACGATCTCATGAGATGCCCGTGAGCCCCATATGGCACTTCTGGGGGTGGCAGCCGTTCTGTCCTCGAAGTTCCACCTGCGGCTGCAGGTGCGTCTGCGTTGGGCGCCTATTGGAGCACCCAGAAATACCTGCACACGGCCGAGGCGTGTCTGGAAACCTGATGCCTCATCTCCGCCATGTGGAGGCGGAGGGAGGAGGGCTGTGAGACATGTCCCTTCTCGCTCACAACAGCTGAAAGCAGAGAAGGCAACTCGCTACAGGCCTTCTCAGCAGTGCAGGGTGTCCCGGTTGCATCCCAGGGGCACCACCAGACGCCAGGACTCTGGGTGGGTGGCAGTCCCGCAGCCGCCGGGCGATGAACATCGCAAGGAGAAGAGGCTTTTACAGACAGGAGCTGAACAGAACCGTCTGGGAGCTGCCCAGGAGGTACATCTCCCTGCACCCCGTGGGCTCTGGGGCCTACGGTTCTGTCTGGTGAGTGGGGCCCAGGGGGAGAAATGAGGGCTGGGGGTGAGAGGTGCCTCAGCACCCCCGATGAAAGGACTCTGCGTGTATGATGGAAGCGGTTTGTCTTCCGCTCGGTCACCGTGAATGGTTGCTTTAAAAACGATCCTGTGCCTCCTGCGGTCACCCTGACAGGCAATGGGGGGAGTCGTGTCTGGCTCAGCCCTGTGGGTGTCCTGCAGGCAGGGATGGCCTCAGATCTGAGAGGGACCTCTCAGGGTAAGGGAGTGATCTGGTTGGCAGGAAGAGGGAAACACCTGAATATCTGAGAGCTGAAGAGTTGGGCCCTGCTGCAACAAAGCAGTGGGCAGAGCTACAGCAGCTGATGCTGTGTCGTGGGGGAATGGAGCTGGGTGGCACAGCCACAGTGCTGCTTCCAGCTCCCTGTTGTAAGGCAGCAGCTGACCGGGACTTCCTGGCTGGTGGCAAATCCCGGCTGACAAGGGAGCAGCAGAGCTGCTGTTAATTAGTTACTTGGACAAAGGTACCCACAGTGAAAGCAAGCAGAAAAGTCGGATCTCATTTTGTTTACGCTGGTGAGTTGAGGAGACTGGTGACTTTTAGTAAGGGCAAATCTGAAGCAGCCCATTGTCAGTAGCCGAACAGAACCTCACTGCATATTAGGGTAAAAAGGAAAAGGAATGGAGTGTGTCCTCTTTCCTGGATGTTGGGCAAAGCCCCTCTTGCTGTCCCAGAGGAATCCCCAAACTGCCTGGCTGAAGTTGGGGCTCTGTCAGTGCACTGCAGGATACAAATGGGGACCAGAGGTTTCCTTCCCCACTTTTCTGCTTATGTGCAAGGCTGGGTCCTGAGATACCTTCTGAACCCGGTAACACTTAACTTGATATTTTGCTGTGCAGTTGGGATTTGCTGTCCTCTGCTGGGAATCACTGGGAAGCTTTTCTATCACAGCACTATTTGGAGCTGACAGCTTTTGCACATCTTTGAACAACAAATAAGGGCTGAGAAACAAATTCTGGGAGGCCAGCATGCGCTTGTTTCTTTCCCCGTTAATTCTGCAGTGATTCGGTAACTGGGGAAGTTTTCTGATGCCCCTAGCCCTGTCCCTTGGGTGCAATGTGCCACAATTACACATGGAACCTTCATGGTACACTCGTGACCTCACCTCGAGGTCGGCCTTGGTGTCATCCTGAGCTTCCAGCTGCTCCTTAATCTCTGCTGGGAAGAACGCTGTGGGCTCTCCTGGCTGCAGCAGCAGAGTTTCCTCTGGGCTGTGCCTTATGGCAAAGGCAAAAGTAGCTCCATTTGTGCTGGGTGGAATGAAGCTCCAGCTCCTGCGTGGAGTGGTGGGGCTGGATGTGTGCTCTGCAGGCCAGACGCTGGGAAGGCAGTAAGAGCTGGCACTTGGAGGTTGGGAAATCTGCCCTGAATTCTGTGTTTGACTGAGTGGTGCCGGATCCTTCCTCTTTGTTCCTTCACGGCTTGGAGAACTGTGCTGCCCTTCTGCCAGCAGCTGCTAAAGGTCTAATGGAACTGAAACAAAATTCTCCATTCCTCTCGAGATGTTCTTCAGTGTCACTTTCAGTGCTTTCGCAGCCTGGTGTGGCTCCCTTTGCCTTTTCTAGCTGAATACATTACAAAAACGCAGTCGCACCGAAGCTCTCAAAGGATGTCTGCTCTCATCAGTGATAGCTCAGAGCAACCATAAGGGACCTCAGTAGCCACGAGGGGGAAGATTGATTGCTTGATGGCATCAGAGATATCTGTTCACTCAGTGAGAGCTGCTGGTGAGCGGGACTTCTGGCAGCTATACCACAGTGAATTGCTGGTGGCTGGAAATCAGAGAAAGCCAGGCTCCTGAGATTTGCACCAAAGTATAACAACCCTTCCTTGGTGTTGCACCAAAGGGGAAGCTGTGCTGAGTGGATGTTCCCACCTATCCTACTGCATCTCTGCCCTACCAGCAGAGACCCAGCAAAACGCACCCTTTGACTGCATTGTTACAGATGGGCATTTTCCTGTCGACTCTGTTCATAAAATCTTGCCTCCGAGTGATGGCCCTGCAGGCCTCAGGAGCAGTGCCTCTGTTCTGCAGCTTTATGGCACAGCCCTTCCTGGACTTGGTGCCCAGAGGAAGGAGGAGCAGATGGAGCCTGGGTCTGCAGTGGGAATGGATCGCACATCTCTTCGTTAGGTGGTGAGAATCCTTGAAGAGCCTCAGAGAGAGAGAGGGTGTCACAGGATCATTCCACCCACCTCAAACAGCCAACGTGCTCAGAAGGAATAGCACGTCTCCAGCTGTGGTGGCTGTACCATGTCTTCATAAGCTCATGAAACAAACCTTATTTGCAGCCATACCTGCTTTTATACAGAAGCGTACAGAAGGCTGCAGGGGAACTAACTGCGGCAGTCTGTGTTGTTTTCAGTGTGACATCCCATCTTTGCTCTAGAATACAGTGAAGAATGTTGACATACCTTCAACGACAACATCTTGCAAGCAGGTGGCAAAGAGGAAATTGCTTTATTCCCTTTTCTCCATGACTTAAAGGAGGAGTAGGCAGAATTAAAACTCATTTTGACATTCAACCATTTGTGTAATGTTGCTCTGTTAGCTCCATCTTGTTGCTACAGGTTAAAGCAAGTGTTAAAGGGAGTAAAGACTGGCACTAGTGCTTTTCTTTCTGTCCTGTCTAGTCCTCTTAGTCCTCCTGAAATCATGGGCAGGGCTTTAACAGCCCATCATGTAAAGGGAAATTCTGCGTGTGAGCCCCACTGAGTTTCAATACCAACCCAGAGAGATCAAGAGGCCTTTTTTTTTTCTTAACCTTTTTCGGGGGGAAGTCCAGCATTAGCTCTTTTCTCAGAGGGAAATTGATCTGGTGTTGCAAAGTTTGTTAAAAACGTTTTCACATTTGCAGTGTGGAAACTGGTTTGTGTTTGTCTGTCACAGTTCCGCCATAGACAAGAAGACAGGAGAGAAAGTGGCCATCAAGAAGCTGTGCCGCCCGTTCCAGACAGAGATCTTTGCCAAGAGAGCATACAGAGAGCTCATACTCTTGAAGCAAATGCAGCATGAGAATGTAAGCATGCATTACTCACTGTTTCTGCTAAAGCAAGGGGAACTCCCCTAGGTGCGTGCCGACTCTAGTGGCAGCACCTTACCTTTGAGAGGTCTCAACATCTGCCATGGGGAGCAGTCTCAGGGCCTGACTGCTGCCCAGCTGGTGCCACATCGGCTCAGGCAGATGTGTAATGGGTGTTCCTGTGTCTTAGTAAGGGGAAAAGTAGCTGCACAGCACAGTGAGGAGTCCTCACATTCCTCAGATAGAGCTGTCAGTGCTCACGGATGTGCTGGTGGAGAGCTGTTACCTGAGTTTCACGTGCAAGGCAAACGCTTTCTAGATTTATGTTTGGGCTTCTCTTGTCTATCAGGTCATTGGGCTGCTCGATGTCTTCACCTCCGCCCCTTCCTACCATGGATTTCAAGACTTGTAAGTGTGGAGTTTGTGTTGCTTTGCCTAGGCTGGATTGTTGAGCACCACACATGCAGGCTTTGCAGCAGCACGATGGATCGTGCTGAGGTGCAGTTCAAAACGCGAATTGGAAAAGGGACAGACTAAAGCCAGACATCCCCAAATAACAAGGAGAATCATAAGCAGTTCCTGTAGCTGAAAGGCCCACGTGAACAGATGGCATGCCCTGTTCACAGCTGGGAGAACGTGGGATAGACAGACCAGCATAAATTACCTGAGGCATTTTGTTCCATGGTGCATGATGTGTCTTGTGAGCCACGCTGATGCACGGCACAATCTAGAGGCTGTATCCAGAATGGGGAGAAGTGGCGTTCACCAGTCCACACGGTAATTGAACTTTGGAGATCTCATTATCCTTTCGCTTTGATTCTGGCTGTTCACCTTGGTGTTGGTGGTCAGGTCAGACAAGCTCCTCTCACTTCCTCATCCCTGGGCAGCACGCACCTGCCTCCAGGTTTGCGGCTGCTGGCTGATACTTGGCAGCCTGCACAAAAACCATTCGATGGTTCTGAGATGTTACTGCTGCTAATTGCGGCCTCAGCAGGCAGGCTGAAGGAACCTACAGGCTGTTTTCCAAGGCAGGGCCAAGGAATATTATAAATCTGGGAGCCAGTGCTGCAGCTTTGAAAGACTCTGTAAAACTGCACATGACACTTTGCTGCCAGGTGGACATAAGGTCACATGGGTTTGAAAATTATTATTTAAAATTAAACTAATTTGAGGTTGTTATGATTTGGAAGATCTTAATTTATATCATGTGTCGGATCTGACGGGAGGAGAAAGAGCACTTTTCAGAGTGGGCAGAATCCTATCATTGCTGCAGTTGGCTAGGAACAGCCACAGCCACCTGCCCCAGTTACACTGATTTAAACAGTCACAGGAAAACAAACCACCCAAACAACAACAAAAATAAGAACAAGGCCAGCCTGGCTCCTTGTGCTTTTCTTCTAGGCTCAGGGCTTTGTCTTACTGCCTTTTAGCTACCTGGTGATGCCGTACATGCGGACAGATTTACAAAAGATCATGGGACATGAATTCAGTGATGAAAAGATCCAGTACCTGGTCTACCAGATGCTGAAAGGGCTGAAGGTAGGTGGGGCTGCAGAAACACCACTGGACTTGGTGACTCCTCTCCAGTTGGTCTTGCTTTGTCATCTCTGGGCTGACCACAGCAACAACCCCTGTCTGGGGAAGATTTGTTTTTCTGGGTGTTTGTTTGTTTTTTGTTTGTTTTAATGGCACACACTGAGAAACAGGGATTTGCTCTTGAATGACTCTTGTTCTAGCACACATCAGTCCAAATGGCTGTCCTTTCATGCTAGTCAACAGGCATGGAAGCTTCCATCAGTTGTAGAGCTTGGAGTGGTTTCTCTGTGACAGCAGCTGTGCTGCTGACTTGCCAAAACCCTGAGCAATTCTGCAGTACCAGGAGCAGTGAGGCTCCTGCCGAATTTCTCACCTGGGCTGTCAGTGAAGAAGATGGAGGGAATGATTTTCTGTTCAACACAGTGAGCAAGAAATGTACTTCTCTAGCTGCCCTTGGGAGGACAAAGCAATCACTCCAAACCCTGAAATGCACAGGCAATGCCTTAACATTGCCCTCTGTAACACCCTCCACCTGGAGTTTCGAGCTGTGGTTTCTGAGCGTTAATAAGTTCACGCTAGTAACACCTTTCCCCTCATCACTGCTACCTCGAGTTTAAGTAAAGCAAGGGGAGAATAATGCCATTGGTCTAACTGGTGCAGCAAAAGTCGCAATCGGTGTTTGAAACAGTAATCTGATTTCCAGTTTTGGTTTAATGATGAAATTGTTTCAAATGTTAAACCATGGGGGAAAAAATGAATCAAAGTTTTCACGCCATCCAACTGACCCCAGCTCTGTCTGTAGTCCAGAGGTCTGTTTTGATAGTTTCAAGAGACTAGTTAGCTTTGCTCTGAGGCACTGTTGCCCCATACCCCCCTTCTGCTCTATGCTGCTTCTTTGGAGCAGCAGTGTAACTGCAAAAGCTGTCAGAAATGCACTTGGACGCTTCAGATTGCTCTCAGGTAGCTTTCCCTCATCAGCCACTGCTTCTCCTATGGTTGTGGGCTTTACTGTGGGCTCATATTCTGGGACACGCAGTGAATGCCAGCACTGCGTTCCCACTGACTTCCTCTCTGGAACTCTCATTTCTCCGCTGGAGAAAATGCTCTTATCTGCTGGTGACCACACCGTGGCTTCTCTTTTTGTTGCAGTACATTCATTCTGCCGGAATCGTCCACAGGGTAAGTTCGTATGCACCAATACTCTGATTTTGTCTGTTTAGGAGAAATGCAGCTTGGTCATAAAAATAGCAAATTTCTAAACATCATTTTGCTAATGGCCTCATGTGCTCTGAATTCTCTCTGGCTCTGCTGCTCTCCTGTACCCAGTGCTTATTCAGATTTAGCAGAAATGCTCTATTTGCTGGCAAGCTGTGAAGCACTTTATGATTTTTGAGTGAAAATGGTTTAAGGAAAAAAAAAGTCACTGCAATTTAAAGCTATACAGTATTGCTGTATTGGCACTGGGCTCAGGATGTTATGGGAAAGCATCCCAGGTGAGCTGAGACTTGACTCAGGCTCGCGTTGATGAACTGCAAATCCAAACATCTCACTTATTCTGGTCTCATCTGTTTTAGGACCTGAAGCCAGGCAACCTGGCTGTGAATGAAGACTGCCAGCTAAAGGTAGGAAAAATGCAGGGAGCAGGTCAGAGTGCTCATAAGCTGCTCCACAAGCAGGAATGCTGGCGTGCAGGTGTCATCGTGCTTCCCCTGACAGCTCAATCTGGGGAGCTGAATTACGCAGCAGTTGTAGTCAGCAGGAAATATTCACCTGCTTATGCAACTTGCTGAATCAGGGCCCAGGCCTTGGAATGAACATCCTGTCACTGTCATTCTGGCTGCACTGAAGTTCCCAATGACTTCCTAAATTAATGTAATACTGCTGAGCCATATGGGTGTTAGGTGGATCCCTATCCCTGAAGGATAACTGGATACAGCCCCAGTTACCCTTTGGTTCTTGTTGGCTAGACCCTGAGGCATAATGGCTGTGATTCTAGACAAAGTTATTTTCAGTATATCTCTGAAGAGATTGCTTACAGCTCAGAGAGGGTGACAGTCTCACATTTGTTTTCTGTAATGTATATTACTGGGAGGAGCTTCTGTTGCCCGTAAAGATTGGGTCAAGCCGTGTTCATCTCCAGAACTGAGAGGTCATCTCCTGTCAGCTGCCGGGTGTTGTTATAGGAAATGGTGAGTCATAGTGGCTTGTGAGCACGCCTCGGCCTCCACCTTCTACAAGTCCATTAAAAAAAAATCTCATAGAGTTTAAACTTAAGCTTCAAAGGAAGTGACCTTCCAGGTAGCAGCACAAGACGCAGATCCTCTCCGCAGGGTCTTGGCAGAACAACCAGCTCTGCAGCTGGCTTGCAACTTGCAGTGGAATTAAGACAAACTTGTAGGTCTTCGAACCATCCCATGGGTGGCTTTGGTGCAGACAGAGCTTCGCTCCGATCTGATTGGATCTGCTTCATTTAAAAGCAGATTATTGCTTGTAGGATTGATTGATTGATTCTTTCCTGCCTTTCCTTCTCCCTCTTCTTTTGGTGAGCTGCAGATCTTGGACTTTGGCTTAGCAAGACATGCTGATGCTGAAATGACAGGCTATGTGGTCACACGCTGGTATAGAGCTCCAGAAGTCATTCTGAACTGGATGCATTACAACCAGACAGGTGAGTTGCATTGCTTCAGCTGTGTGACTGTCTGGTGACAAACCCAAAGACCTCTCTGTCATGCCTGGCTCAAATCCCACCTAATCTACCAAATGTTTTTGCTCTTTGTAATCAGTGTCCCCTGACATGGAGCAAGTCACAGCTGGTGCCTGTGGGAAATGATGAAAGCAAAGATTTTAGCAGCATGGAAAGAACTGGGGAGGGCAGAAAATGGGACCGAAGTTGAAATGGGTGCCTGCTGCAGACTGAAAAAATAGGCAACAGCTCATGCAATCCTTTTTTCCTAAAAAGCTACTCTTTTTAAATTTTTCCTTCTTTCTTCCCAACAGTGGATATCTGGTCTATCGGTTGCATCATGGCAGAAATGCTGACTGGGAAAACGCTGTTTAAAGGAAAAGACTGTATCCTTTCAAACGAAACCTTTTCCCTCAGAGGGGTAACAATTCTTGGCATGTGTGAGAGAGCCTTAGGAATGCGGCTTCAGAGGGAAATCAGTGTCGGTCTAGTTTACTAAGAGATGATCACAGGAGATCAGTGCAGTCTTTTTGGTGAGGAAAACAGAATATAGAAGGGGGACAAGACACCCTTAGAAGTGCACCTCCTCTGTTGGCCACGTACTCTCTATATCAGCAGTCTAACCTTGAATTCCCCTCGTTTTATACCCAAGCCCTTCCATACTCTCAAATCTATGGGCATATACCTCAGTAGAACGGTACAAACAGAACTCGCTGTTGATGAGGACTGCATCCTAGGGAGAGAGGATGCAAACAGTGTAATGAGTCTCAGTTTGTGTGGCTCTGCAGGTCTGTATCATTACCTGCTCAGAGCTGCTGCTGCTCCTGGGACGCTCCTGCGCACAGCCATAGGTTGAGCTGCTGGGTGGAGCCCAGGGCTCGCTCCCAGGTGGATAATCTTTAACACAGCCTGCCAGACCTTGATCAGCTGACTCAGATCCTGAAAGTAACGGGGCATCCAGGAGATGACTTTGTGGAGAAGCTTGAGGACAAGGCGGTAAGGAAGCCCTGTGGCCACTCTGGTCTTGCTGCCAAAGGCATGGTGGGGAGAGGCAAACTCGCAGCCATGTGCTGCTGTTACAGCCGCCGTGAACAGGAGAGGGGGCAGTCTTTCCCATCATCAGGGAAAACGTTTTTGTCAGTGACACCTCTGATGTATTTGACTTCAATGCTCGTCACTGAGAACTGGCGTGGATCATAGGGCTGCTGGGCGAGGAATTGGTGCTGCATCTCCTGCCTCTGTTCTGCAGCTCAGCTGTTCTTAAAGCATCAGCATTTCTGTGTCCCAAGTGATAAAAATAGTTCTCACAAGCTGGCCACTAAAATGTGACGTGAGATAATTTGTTGTTCTCTTCTCCTAAATAATGGGACCCAAGAGCTCTATTTTACAGCCCCCTTATACTTGTCCAGTTGCAGTAAATGCATGTGCTCTGCTTTCCTTTCTCTTTTAGGCTAAAAGTTATATCAAGTCTCTTCCAAAAATGCCCAAGAAGGATTTGTCTGTGCTCTTCCCCAAAGCCAATCCTCTGGGTAAGTAATCTTGAGCATTTCTCACAAGTTCTCACAACTGAAAATGAGTTGGGCTGACTGCCACAGATGCAATTTTGTTGCTCCTCTTTTTCATAACTTCTCACTGCTTCCTCCCTTGCAGGCTGTATCCCAGCAGGAGGTTGCCCTTCCCAGAGCAAATACACCTGAATTAAAACAGTCCTTTATTGGCACTGCAATGTCAGTGTTCTGCTGTTAGTGGCCATTTACCTCTTCCCTTTCTGTTTCTAGTTTTAAAATGGCACAGTGTGTAAAATAAAAGGAAGAGGTAAACTTCACATTCTTGTATTAACAAGCCAGAAGGAAGCATATGCTATATACAACAGGATGTCTAGGTCACAGAAAGCAAATCGTGGGATTAGGGCAGTTGCATGTAGCAGTACACCTTTAGCTCCACTTGGTATAGGATTTGGGATGAGTTTTGGCTGATGTTAGCTTTCAGAGCTTGCTGCTTGTAGCAAAGCAGAGGACATTATGATTCAGAGTACTCAAAATGTCTCCCCAGCCCCAGATCCAAAGCATCACAGGTTTCGATGAAGTATGAGAGAGCCCCACAGTTCACTATAATAAATCTTTTCCTGCGGGAAGAGTTCAGCTCAGATTGCAGCTGTTTGTTGAACACCGGCACCTTTCAGTACGTAACAGGCAGTTGAAATGTGCGATTTTCAGGGTAAAAACTGATCTCCAAGTAGCTCTTTCCCCAAGTAGATAAGAGAAAACCTCTTCTAAAAGGAGAGCATTAAGCTATTAATACCAAGACGGAACAGGGATGACAGACCAGTCAGTATCTGAGTTTCCTGCCTTCCTGTTTACCAGGGATGTATAGGTTTCTATATGGATTACTCAAGCAATAGCTTGAGAATTGACTATTTTGAATCGCAGGGGTCAGAGCGAAAGCAAATGACTGAAGCTGCAAAACATCATGAAGTTAATGGTTTGCCGTTCACATTCCTGCAGTCTATCCATGCAGCGGTGCCTATCTGAGGCTGATTTGTTACCTCTGCACAATGTATACCTCCACTTCTCTTAGTAAAAGTTACCTGTGGCCACTGCTTGGCAAACTTTGCAGATTTCCATGCTGCCTTGGCCAGATTGAGGAATTTGTTTTGTTTTTAGGTATGGAAATGTCTTAGTGGAAACACTAGCCCTATCATTTTCAGGGTTTGTGCACAGGATGGCTGTTCTGCCCTGTACCCACTCAGCATGTTCCTGTCTTCTCCCACAGCAGTGGACCTGCTGGACAAGATGCTGCAGCTGGATGTGGAGAAGCGCCTTACAGCCACAGAAGCATTAGCCCACCCGTACTTCGATCAATTCCGAGACATTGAGGAGGAGACAGAGGCACAACAGTCCTACGATGATTCTCTGGAGCATGAAAAGCTTTCAATAGAAGAATGGAAAAGTAAGAAGTTTGTTTTATTTGACACTGCATAGCACAGACTTTCCTGCCCCTTTCTGTTTCCTGTGAGCACGCTGAGTAAGGCCAGCTCAGCTGCAGCCGCTCAATAACGCCTTGATGATGGCATTCATCTCCCTTTCCTTGCTCTTACTGTCATGGACTCAGCAGAGATTCCTTCTGCTGCCATCTTTTCAGATTCCATTTTTTCCCCCATCTGTACTTCATCTCTTCCTCCCAGCTTGTACCTGCTGTACTTCTCTCTGCACACGGTTAATGGTCAAAGTTTCGTTTGTGACCTCTGCAATAGGAGATGAACGCTAGAGGTATTCATTATTCGTTCTTCTTCTGTTTTTCAAGAACATATCTACAAGGAGATCTTATCCTTCAGTCCAATCGCACGGAAGGACTCAAAGAAGCGAAGTGGAATGTCGCTGTAGTGACTGCTTCAGCTGTGACCGGGATTCATGTCTCATGCTGGATGACAGATGGGATTTGTTCCACACAGCCTCTTTTGTTGCCATCACTTGGCCTATGGGACTCCTGTGTGTGTGAACATGACGTCAACGCTGTGACCGTGGGCACTGGACTTTCTTCCACTGGTGGGGGAAGCACTCCTAAATAGTTTTCAACTGTAAAGATAAAATGCTTCACTGAAACTTTGGGAGAAATTGCTGGTATTTTTTCTCCCTCTCTCCTCCCCCCTCTCCTCCCTGCATATTGCCAGGTTTTTGTTTCTCCTTTCTTTCAAAAAGCACAGGCTTTTAGACTTGAATTATGTATAAGGTAAATAAAATGGTAACACTGTCTGGGGACTGAGTCCCAAGCAAAATAACGAAATGGTGAAATTTAGTGTAACGAGACTTTATCCACACTCCTGATCCCTGAGCTCTTAAAGAGCACTCAGCACAGCCAGGTTGCTGACATGATTCAGCACCCAGGACATCGTGGGAATTGAGTTCTTCATACACACAGGCTACATCCAGGGCACCTTCTGCCCTGGTTTCTTGCTATGCACAAAACTCCCTGCTAGGGTGCAGCCTCCTCTGGGCAGGTACTCATTCCTCCTTTTTGCTTTACTTCTCTCATCCTTGGGTTTTGATAGGTACTGTTTCTTCCTCACGGCGAGCTGCAAATGCATCCCTGAGAGTTAAAGACCACATTCCCACATTCATAACCTTGTTATCCCAGGGAGCTGGGTTACCAGCAAGCAGTCCTCCTGCCCTCACAGGGGCCTCTCCTTTATGCACAGTCTGCTTCACCCTCCAGCTCCCTTAGCCAGGCTTATCTCTGCTGAGCACCCTCCCCCTGGAGCTGCCCTGCCTCTGCAGGCTGCCTTTATCTCTTAGCAGATCTAGTATTTTGTTACACACTCCAGTGACATGACCTCTTACACACTCATTCCCTCTGCTTTGAGGAATCTGTTTTACCATTTGTTCTCTGCTGCAGTTCTCTTACACGGCTGTTTGTTCCTTAATAGGAAGAGACTTTAATTGTTTGGAAATGTCTTAATAGGTGATTGTCTATCCCGAGGCTCACATCCTTACTTTGAAGTAAGGATCAAAAAGTTTATAGATGGGAGAGGAGGAAAAAAAAAAAAAAAGAAAAACAATATATTGCATGAACAATTCAGCATCATCAGAAACAGGAACACAATTCAATTCAGTGAACATGGAAAATAACTTCAGATATTCTGGTATCAGATCAGTTCCTTCAGTCATCAATCTTATAAACATCATCTGAGACGATCTTATTACATAGAAAACCTCACAGAAACCAAGCTACAAACAGATTCCCATTAATTCACTTTAGCGAGTATTTCTTGGCTACAAGAAGTTGCCACCTCTGAGATGCTCATCATATCTGTGTGTGACAAAGGTTGGGAATATGCAGTGCTTGCAGGGAAAAGTACCCTGGAAGAGAAAGTTTCAAATGCAATTGAATCAATCAAATTCAATTACCGATTATGAACTTCCAGAGTCTTGCTGCAGTTGGAAAGGAAGCAGTTGAGGGCCAAGGGCTCACAGGTCAGGATTTTAGGGACCCTATGTGCACCCTAATGCAGACTCTCTAAGAAAAGCCAAATTAGTGTCACCTTGTGGAAACTGGTGACATGAAAGAGAGCCCTACTGTGCTGCATCCACAGCCAGTTGCATCCAGCCTTGCCCTCAGATGCTATTTCTTTAGTAGGTATAGAGCTTTGTATGAGTTGAAGAACAATAAAATACTATCTTTTGCTGTTTATCACTCTGGATTAAGCATTTTCTCACATACAACTTGTCTGGATTTAATTGGTTTGCAAAGGTGTTCAGATAGTATTGCGATAAGAAGAGTGTGATGCGCAGACAGAGGGAGGTGGTTCTCTGAGCCCGGCTGCTGTTTACCGGACTAACCAGCTTGGCATCTGCAATCTCCCCCCAGGGAATGTTTGTTCCACCTTTGCTTCTGTAATATGCCAAGTAGTTCATTCAAACATAAAAGTATGTTTTGATCCTTGAGGTAATTTGATGTACTAGAAGTATTACTAATGTAATCTGAAGCCTGGAACTGTTGGAGGTATATGCGTCAGTATGTCCCAAGCCAATACTCAAGTACATAGGTGTGTGCTATAAATGTTATTACTAATGGAAGGGGAGATGCAAAACAATTACAGGCACAAAATAAGCAAACTGCATCTGAAAGTGACTTCAGTCTTAATACTATATAAGCAGGTCTTAAAGAGCCATGGTTTGAGGAAACCATTCTCTCCTTGTCCTGCTCCACGGGATGCAACCTGCATATTCCCTGCATGTAGGAAGGGAGCAGTTGCTGCTCCATCAAAGAGCAGTTGAAATATCGTCCCTTTGAACAAGAAGTCTGACTTGGCTTCTCTGTCCATCATGTAATCTTTAACAGAGGTCACAGAGGAGCTCTCTGCAGCTGCCACAAACACCTCAGCTGCATGTCTTTGTACTGAATATACTTCCAAAAAATATTTTATATCAAGTCCAGATTTCTGTGTGGAGTGCTTTCTCTTTTGTGAGCTTACACTGAATACTCTGAAATAGTGAGAACAACCTCAAGAGTTTTGTGTGGACTCCACTCTGGGAATCATCTGGGAATTCATTCACCCGCTGACAATGCACAGTGGTCTTCAGCACACGATTCTGCCACACGTCCCCTAAGGAGCAAATAATTCATGGACATTCATTTTGCTAGTTTGTTTTTTTTTTTCTCCTTGTGTAATTTACATGACTTTAAAATACAAAATCCAGTTATAAAAATCACTCAACCATTTAGTGAACATCCAAAATCCCATAAATCAGGCCAGATGGAAATATGCTATTTACACTGAAGCACAGTAAAAATGATGCTGATATAAATTATTTGTGCCCACCTCACATAATATGCAGATGCCCATCTTGAAATACTTTTTATATCTCAGTCCTGCATTTATTTTTGAATGTAGGGAGTTTTTTTTACTATTATTTGGAAAGTGAAGCCTTCATCATAAACAATCTTTCTGTGCAAGTTTTTTGGCAGCCAGTGAGATCTGTGAGTTACAACTTTACGAGAGAGATCTTATTTATGGAGTACTTACAGCTGAGATTGGGTGAGAAGAAGCGGATGAAGCAATGATTTTTTTTTTGTAAGAGACACCATAAAGTTATAAGGATTTCTCTTTTTTTTAAGCAGACACACAATATTCAGCACATTTTGGACATCACCTAGAAAACTCTCTGCGCTTTGAAAATATCTACAGCTTCTTAGAAAACTCTACACTTATTTTATGCCATAAGAAAAAAAATTGTTTTCATATTTAACCTTCTCACACTCTAAGTAACGGTCTAAATGGACTAATCCTTTTCAGGTTGTATGTGTGTGATACTGGGATAAAAGAAAAACATACGAAATGATAAACACATCTGAGAACTCTAATGAGATCCTTTAAGGATTGTAATATGTTTTTGTATTTCCATGCCTCACCTGCCTAAGTAGCAAGGGAAAGTTCCTAATCCTCTGCAGTTTCCCATGTCATTGTGGAGTGTGGGCTTGTAACATGACCGTGGCTTTGTTTTTTGCTTTTAGTTTTTAAACCCAACTAAGAGAAACAAAACACGAAAGAAAGACCAGAAAATTGCCAGCACCAATTCATTTTCACCCCACAAAGGATGAACATTTACTTCACTAACTGCAGCTGTATTCATCAGCATCACTCTGCTGTGAAAACATTGGTGTTTCCAAGCAATTGTGGAATATAGGATTCTCTAATTTCTCTCATGCCAAGCCATTTTCTGACTGCATGGGCTTATACAACCCTTCATATGATGTTCAGCCAATGCTGCTTCGCCACTGATTCAGACAGCACTTTGGCTGATTGATAACTTCTTTCTCTTTTGCTGGGTTGCGCTCTATTAAATAATGTTAAAAGTAAGCATTTATCTTTAGTAACTTTCAGTTGAATGAGAGCTAACTCCTTTCAGACAAGTTTGTCTAGAAAAATTAGAATTATCCTACTATCAACCATAATTTCAGTTCTTTCTTCAGAAAAACCCAAAAAGGGTTTTAGAACTGATTTGCCCATTAAGATAAAAAAAAGGAATACCATTAATTCCTACTAAGAAGACAGTGCTAGGTGCTTGTGTCATCTCTCTGAAGTCAGTGGGACTGAACAGGGCTATAAATACTCCCCATAAAACTAGGATCTCAGGAAGTGCACTCGCGAATCCAGCTGAACTGTACTGCAGCCAAGGCTAACCACTTCGAGGTATGTGGCTTTTAACCTTTAGCGTGCACGGGTCCTTTTTAGCAACGAAAACAATTCCAATAGTTCTGAAGAAAACAGCCACAGAACAAACAACCAAAACACAGATGACAGAAGTACTCGTTTTGAGGCTTAATGAATCAACAAATAAAAAAAAAAGGTCATTTTTCAGTTCTCAATTACAAATGATAATTTTCTCCCTCTTTAAATATGTTTAAATACTTGAATAAAGATGAAGAAAATTATGACTGAATGTGCCTAGCTCTGTTTGAACTGTCTTGGCTGCCATTTTCAATTGAAGTGACATCCCTGGTTTTGAACTTGTACCATTTAAAAACTGTGAGAGCCAAGAAATTGAATTAAGTTGTGCCTCTGGGATTTCAGATAAGTCCAGAATGTTTTTTCAAATAACACATTAGTTCCACAGCTCTATTTTAAAATTAAATGATGGAAAACTTGTTTTAACGCTCAAACATATGGCCCTCAATCTTCCAAGATGTCTGTGCATATTTCATGTTGTGCAAGAGTCACCCTACGGAACTTAATAGGACTATTCACACAGCTGACATTAAGCACATATGCAAATCTTCGCAAGACATGATTATAATAAGCCAATTTCAGTGCAAATCTAAGTATAAAGGGCTTAAAAGCTGAGGTCAAAATAAAAGAACTTGCGCAAGTGTCATAATGAAAGAATACCAAAATGCTGAGGAGAAAATATGCGCTAAAACCTTCTGATAAAATCCAAACTATGTTCTCATATAAAGAGGGAAATTAGGCAGTCAAACTGCTCATTGCAGTAACTGAAATAATTTTATTTACTGTGAAACTCTTTCCTCAACAGTCAACTCATTTGCTGAGATGTCTATTTTATAGATTTTTTGTTGTTCTTTATGGATAGGATTGTGCTTTTCCATAGATGCACTTTGGGGGTGAGATGGGATTTTATGTAAAATGATATGCTTTATTTATCTCCAATTTCTTTTCATGCAGTAAAAATATATATATGTATATATATATATATATATTTATTTATTTAATATCCTTGAGTTCCGATGTGTTAACAGTAGCTTCTTCAAGAAGTAAACACAGAAATGAGTACTGAGAAGTTTTGAAATGTAAAATCCATCATAACGTTACTGTTCTGCATTAAGTGAAACTTTTCCTGTGTTCTTAAAGCTTCACATCCCGGTCCAATTTGAGTACTTTGCAGAACAAGATTGTTACGGAATGCTTGGCTGCTCTGATATTCCACACTTAACATACAATGAAAGACAGAAGATCCTATAGTTGTAACTGAGGGAAAACTACATTTTTATCTTTGAAAACAATTCTATATTCTATTTATAATTCTATACGTTCAGATGCCAATATTATGCAATATTCTGTATGACTGTAAGTGGGAAGTGCACACGCACAAGTACATGCTATGCTCTGTAAGCATAGGAGACTCTGGAGCTCCTATCTCATCACTTATCTCAGTGGCAAGCACAACTCCTTTCTCATTCATTCCTCTCTGTCCCTCTCTCTGACCTTCCACCTTGTCACACCTCTGAACGTCAGGAGGCCATCTGGACCCGAAGTATCACACTAGAAAATAATGCAGACTCTCATTAATCCCATCATTTGTCTGACAGTGTTGTTTGGGTGCAGAGCAGCAGGGATTAGGCTTACATGCTCTCTGGGAGAGCTGCGCTAACTGGTGCCGGCGATACTGTCATGTGGTTTTGATGTTCCCACGCGCTTCCTGCAAAAAGAAATACCGGGTGTAGGATGAAGCACTCTCATAAACTCAGGGCAGGGATCTGGCCAATCCCAGGGGCCTAAAACAGGTCCCTCACAGCTGCAGCTGAGCTCGCAGGCAAATCCCAAACCCAGGGACCGTCACAGAACCCTTAACTGGAGCGCCCCTGGGATCCCCAACCCAACGTCGCCCCCCATTCCCGCTGCCCACGTCCCTCCGTGCCACGTTTCCTGAGTTCCGAGCTCCTTCGGGGACGGTGACCCCCCCCGCCCCCCGGGCAGCCCGTCCCGATACCCGACCACTCCGATAAAAAACTTGCGTCCCGTCATTCCCCCCCGCCCCTCCCGGCCGCTCAGAGCCAGCAGCACAGCCGGGAGGCGGACACCTCCCCCCGCTCGCAGCCCCCGGGGCCCTCCCGCTCCTCTCGGCCCGGGGGTGGGAAGGCACCGGGAGGGGCGGGCGGTCTCTGCCCGCGGGCTGGGGGGAGCGCAGCGCGGCAGCCCCCTCCCCCGCCGCCTTCCCTCACCGCTCGGCCGGGGCCGCACCACCGCCACCGCCTCCATTTTGTGCGTGTCCCTGCGCCCCCCCCCCGCCTCTCCTCACACAGCGCGGGAGCGGCGCTGGAGGGAGCGGGGCCCCGGGAAGGGGGGGAGCCGGGGGTGGTGGGGGGCGAAGCGGCGGCGGAGCGGCATGAGAAGGCGGCGCTGAGGAGGCGGCGGCGGACGGAGCGGCCGGACCGACATCTTGTGCCCTCCCCTCCCGCCGCCGGCTGGGCGAGCCCCAGGGGGGAGGGGAGGGGGAGGCGGATTTAAAGAAGGAAAAAAAAAAAAAAAAAAAAAAAGGAAGGAAAAAAAAAAAAAGCATCCCCCTCCCCCCACACCACGGAAAAAAAAGAAAGAAAAAAAACCCAAAACGATAAGGAGGCGGCGGTGACGGCGGAGACCGCGCACGGAGACGCCGAGGTAACGCGCTGCGCGGGCCACGGCTCCCTGCCCTCAGGGGTCTCTGCTCCCTCACGCAGCGCTGCGCCGGGGTCGCGGGAAGGTGACCGGGTAGGCGGCAGGAAGGCCACTGTGCCGCAGCTAGAGGAGCTTCCCGCTCGCTCGCCGCGCGAAGGGAGCGACCCGCGGCCCTCACCGAGCGAGGGGCAGCGGCGCTGAGCGCGGGAACGGGTATCGGGCAGCACTGCGTCCACCAGCCCCCCCGGCCGCCATCTTGGCTACCCCTCGCCGCGGCGCTAGAGGTGGCCCCACCCACCTTCTCCCACGCTATTGGCCGAGCGCGCCCCGTTTTAGCCCCGCGGCGCTCTGCGTTGCTATTGGTGGCGAGGCTGGGACGGGCGTTGGCGGTAGCCAATAGCGTCCTGGCTTTGGTGTGCGCGCTCTGTCGCTCTTTGCGGCCGGGTTCTACTGCTCGGGGACTTTTTTCGCTCCCTGGGGAATGGCGGGCCGCGGCGCTAAGGGCCCTCTCACAGGCGCGTTCGTCGCTGTGTTTGTGCCCGCTCCGTGCCCTGTTTTGACCCTGTCGGTGCCAGCAAGGTTGCTGTGGCCCTGACAGCGCTCCTGAGAGGAGCTCTAGGACAGCACCTGCCGCAGGTTCCTTCAGAGAGCTGCTTAAACTCAGGCCGCTCCTTACACTTCATCCACAGCCTCACACGACGCCCGGCGTGTGCCACATCTCCGCCCGATGACAGAAATGTGGAGGGATTCATAAAGTGTGTGTGGGTATCAGAGAGGAGAGTGGGCCCTCGGCAGCCCTGCAGCGTGTGTTGCTGGTGGAGCCTGTGGAAAGTGCAGCCGTGAAGTGTAGCACTGTGCTTTGGGTTGGGGAGAGAGGAGCCTGGAGAGGAGACAGCTGCTACAGGCTGTTCATTTCCTGTGGCACTGTTGATTCAATTTCATGGATGTGTTTCTTCAATACTTCTGCAGGTGTTTGTTCCTCCCTCCCTCCAGAGCTGAGGGGTGGGAGGAGGAGAAAATCTCCTGAGCCTGTATCTGCTCTGTGCAGAAACCGGGCTGAGCCTTACCTAAAGCTGAGCTTAGGGTCCCTTCCCCCTGTGTGTCACTGAGATGTTCATCGAGGAGGGACCTTGCTTTTTCTGACATCCACATAGAATCATGGCTGGAAAAGACACTGAGATTCCTAAGTCCAACCCCAGCCCATCCCTACCATGCCCCCTAACCATGTCCCTCAGTGCCACATCTCCACACGCCACAATGAAAGCTTCCCCAGCATCGCTGCCTTTAGCTGCAGCCTTGTGTCTTCCAGAGGCTTGCAAAGACTCCTGTTGCCAGTGAGAAAATCATTGTCTGCCAGCATGGGAAGGAGAGAGGTTGAAGAAGGCTGAGGTCTTCTGAGGTGTGACTGGATGCTTCTGGTCCTTGGTGCAGCGTTGCAGAAGTGTGGATCACAGCAGTATTTAGCCCTCCTTTTAGAAGATCCACTTGTGCAGGATTTTTCCTGTGTTGCAATGATATTTGGTATGTGGATCTCTCACATTTTTTTCTGTGAAGCTATCTGTAGTAAATTTAAGCCTTCTGATGGGGCTTGTTTTTCTTAGTTCCTTTTTGCAGACCCCAGGCATCTGTGCGCCACAGACATGAAAACTGCTGCTCAGAAGAAGTGAACCATTTCAGAACAAACTCGTGGAATAGAATTAAATTTAGCTCTGGCAGCTTTTTGCATTACAGCCCCGTTGTTCGTTTAGTTGTGCTCTCTAGGAACCTATCCCTCTGTTCCTGGCATCATACGCAGTGAAAGTGGATTGTGGGGTATTCTTGGAAAGCCTTGAGCGCACTGGTGACAGCAAGAGGACAACTTTTTGAACTTTTTGCTTTTATATCAACAGCATTTGTCCATGGTAGGACAAAAGCAGCATAGGCTGAAGGAGTGTTTAACCCTGCTGAAGTCAAGGCAGTTTAGCATTTCAGCATGCACAGATGCTGTTTGCAGAGAGATTTTTTGTATGTGGCTGGGGAGGTGTTTTCGAGTGTGCTGAGAAGATCATAACATTCCTGGATTGCTTCTTAGAAGTTGCTGTGTTGCAGACAAGGTCACAGGGTTTCATCTTGGCGTGTCTGAATTTGTTTTATGGCTGCTTTCAGGGCTTTCTGGAGGTGGATAGTTGTGTCTCTTCCTGATATCCAGATGCCTTTCAGAAATGATCTGGAATTCTTATCCCAGGCACTGAGTAAGGTCTGGCTGGCAGCAATTTCAGTGCCGTTTTAGATGCTTCTATGTATTGTTAAGTAGTTGTGTCCTTTGCAAATGGGTTGGTTTAGAGCAGCCAGTTACTGTGGTAAAAAGCCCTCTTTGGGTAATTTCTCTGGACAGTAAACTGACTGTGTCTCTAAAGCTACTACAAGAACACCGTACTCTTGGTTTTTCTGTCAGCAGGTAAAATAACCCTTCCTTGGAGCGCTGGTTTGGCTGAAATTTGCTCATCTCTCAGCCAGTCATCAGCTAATGTCTTGTTTTTCCTGAACACAATGTTAATAATGGCTGTGGTCAGGTCTTTCCAATTGCTTTATCCTCCGGTGTCTTTATGTTCATGAAACTTCTTGCATCCAGTGTCTTCTTCGGTTACACCAGTCAGGTTATACCCAACCCATATTTCAGCAGGATTTTCTTGGTTTTCCATTTGTTGACCAAGCTGCCTTTAGATGCTGGTTATAGAACTTCTTTTCCTACTGTTTGAAGCAATTGAACTTATCTTGACCAGTACAGCTGCACTTCTGCAGTATGCAGGTCAAAAAGATCCTGAAAATCCCAGTGTCTATGTTTACAGGTGGAAATTGTCATCTCATATTTTACATCTGAAAACAAATGATGCTTTCAGATTATCATTACAGGACTGCTGAAAGTGGCACCTGCAGCTTATTTCTGTGGGTGCAGAGGAAATTTTGGTCTCCTTTTCCAAAGCTGGTTTGTTTCTTAGTGTAAGTGTCATCTCGTGGCAGACTCATGGATAAGAGCGGCAGTGCTTTCAGGGGAAGAGTGTCTCCAGGAATCTGTTACTCCTTTCTGGAATAACTTCATGAATTCTTGCAGGCACTGATCCATGAGGTGATGCTTGCTTTGACTCAGTTGATGTTTGTGAGGTTAAGTCCATCATGGAGCAAAAAATAATGTGACAGATAAATACAAATGCTTTTTCTTGTCTGCAGGTCCCACAGAAAGGGGCCAAAAGTGCTGTGCTCTAAGGGTGAGGTGCTGGTTCAGGCCTCTGCATAGCAACAGATAAGCTCTGGGCTGACTTATCTTCTTGGGGAGATCTTACATTTACGTTTCTTCTTTTCAGCTCTCTCTTTCCTTGGCCTGTCTTGTTACTCTGCCTAGTTCTTTCTGTGCTTTGCACTCTCATCCCTGACTCTGCTGTCCCTTGCATTACTCACTTGCTGCTTTCCTGCTTATACTCCTGTGGATCTTGCATGCTGAACCAGCTCAAGGGCCTGAACGTGGATTGTGGCTTCAGAGGGGCAGATGCTGAGCCTTGTAAGTCCATCTGGATCCATATTGCTCATTCCCGTACTCGTTCCCTTTTACTTCTTTGTAGATTCTGCCAAAGAGAAGAAAGGATGTGCATCTAGCACCCATTGCATTGCTCAGTTCATCCTCTGGTTCTTCACAGGTTTTTCTAACCCATTTTGCATGATGTGGAGAACATGGGTTAGCTCAGTGCACATTCTGTCTGCAGGATGGTGTGAGAAACCAGCTACAACTTCAGGAGAAAGGAAGGCAAAGCTGGTAGATGGTTTTTCGACCATGGAACTCTTTCTCAATGTGGGTGAAGGAAGAAGTGGCAGTGGGATGGAGATATGGGTGAACTTCCCTCTGAACTGAGGGAGCACTGCTGGTGTATGTTCTCATGTGGAGCTCAGCTTAAAAAAAAAAAAGAAAAAGATTGGCAGGGGGCACTGCTTTTGTAGGGCAGGAGGAGTGCTTTCCTTTAGGTCTGGAAAACCAGATCTAATATTTAGCTCATTATGTGTACTGCTGGGAACTCACAGGCAAAAGAACAGAGAGAAGAACTCCTTGGCCTGTGTGAACTAAACATTGAATGCTGCAAGTAGGTTTAATGAGTACTGTCTGCATTTCTGAGGATCTGGATAGTTTGCTGATCTCAGTGCATAGCAAAGTGTTTACATGACATTCTCTAAAACCCATTTCTACTCTTCTCATCTGTTGGTATGGGAAACATTTCCTGGCTTGCAAGTAGAGAAAGTTGGAGGGTGCTGTGCCTTGCTCTGATATACGCTGCAGAAATGGTTGATATATCCAATACTTGCTTGTATTTAAGGTGAAGTAAACTCTGCAAGCCGAAAATTGCTGAGGCCTTTAGTTGAAATGCTTTTCTATTGTGATGCCGTGTGCATTTTCAGTCTGTGCTGCTCCTGTCTGCTTGTCTCCGTGGCTCATGCTGGTCCTGGTTTGTTGCAGGTCTCTGGTGGACTGCAGCAATGAGG